GAACCTAGGGGTAGAGGAACACCAGGTGTGTGTGTGTGCATACATGTGTGCCTAAAATCCAGAAAAGGGCGAAATGGAGAAGGGACTGCTGCATGACCATTCCCCATAGGAGGTGCTTTGTCACTTTCCTTCCCCCTTTTTCTGTCTCACATGTACCGTGTGTCAAAAAAAAAAAAAAAAAGGAAAAACAATCTTGAGCCAGTATTTGGCATCTTTAGAAACCTACACGGGGGGCCAGGAGGTAGAGTAGTGGCTAAGGTGCTGGACGCCCATGAGGCCCACAGCGGTTTGAGTCACGGACTCAAGGCTTGAAACTCATGTCAGGCGCTAGTGTGCGTGTGCCCCAAATCCCACGATGATAGAGGAGGAGAAGGGATCGTTGTGTGGCCATCCCCCTTGGGGGCTGATTTCTTGCTTTTTGTCTCTCTCTCTCTGTCTTTCTGGAAGTACACACACACCCTATAGCAAAGATCTTTAAAAAAGACATGGGAATGAGATCCAACAGATCTCGCCAGTGGTATGTGCAAGTGAATATTCCCTTTTGCTTCCTATTTGAACACTACATCTGTTTTGGGTTGTATGTTGTGTTTCAGATTGATTTGCATTGAACAGAAATTAAATAAAAAATGCCTTAAAGAGTAGTTAGAACAAAGTATTTGACAAATGAAAGTCTGTAACATTTTTTTGTTCCTCCTTTTTTAAAGGATTGTTTAATTAATTATTTAATTAATTGATTTCAATATGACCAGAGAGAAACAGAGAGAGAGGGAAAGTGAGAAAGCAAGCCCCACCAGGTCCGGGACTCAAACCATGGTTGGGCATGTGGGAGTCCAGCACCCTTAACCACCATGCCACCTGCTGGCCCCTTGTTCTTTTTTTATGATTTTTTTTAGAGAGATTTTTGCTATAGGGTGTGTGTGCTCACCAGAAAGACAGAGCGATCGAAAGCGATACATCTCCTCCCAGGAGGGATGGTTATGCCACAGTCCCTTCTCCTCCATTCTTTTCTTGGGATTTTGGGCACACATGCACACTGGGCATGAGGTTTTTGTTTGTTTGTTTGTTTGTTTTAGAATTATCCATTTATTAATTAAAATGATTTCATTTTAATTTTTAAAATTTGACCAGAGAAAGGGGAAGGGAGAAAGCAAGCGTCCAGGTCCAGGACTCAAAATTGTGGTCGGCCATATGGGAATCCAGCACCCCTAACCACCCAGCTACCTGCTGCCCCCCTCCACAGCCCTCCTCCTGTGTGAGTTTTAAGCTGCTGGGTCCAGGACTCAAATCACAGTCAACTACATGAGAGTCCAGAAATGTAAACATTACGCCATCTGCTGGTCCTTAAAAATTTTAAATTTAGGGAACCAGCAGTTAGCGTAATGGCTGTGTCGCTGGACTCCCACGTAGTCGACCGCGGTTCACGTCCCGGACCTGGGGACTTAGAACTCACACCGGGCACGTGTGCGTGCGTGCCCAAGATCCCGAGAGGAGAATGGAGGAGAAGGGATTGTGGCATGACCATCCCCTCTGGGGGGTGATTTCTTGCTTTCTGTCTCTATGTCTCTGTCTGTCTGTCTGGCAAGCGCACACGCCCTATAGAGAAAAAAAAAAAAAAACCTCTCCAAAAAAAAAAAAAGAAAAAAAATGTTTAAATTTATATTTTTATACCATTGTGGGGGTAAACATGACTTTTTCAACATGCATGCAGTATGTCGTAATCAAATAAAGGATATTACCATATTTATTATCTTCAACAAAGAACGTTTCATATATGTGATATATATACATAATTGGCAACGCTCTTGTTTATTTGAAGAATTACTTTTAAAATTTTATTTATCGTTATCATCATTCTTCAGTTTGTTAGAGGACACATGCACTCACCAGAGAGAGAGAAAATGAGAAAGCAAGCTGCCAGGTCTGGAACTCAAACCATGGTCACCCATGTGCGAGTCTAGCACCTTTACCACCGTGCAACCTACTGGCTCTATAGTGCTCTTATTTTTATTCTGTTGTGGTATATCACTCCAGACCCTATATGCTGTATTTACTTGCATTCTTGTGTCTGTTAAACATTTTTTTTCTGAGCCTCAACTCCACCAAAAAGCATATAAAATTTTAAGTTATTTGAAACTACACTATCTTTTAGTAAATGGTTATTAATACTTACTATCCATGTTGTGAGATAGAGCAATAATTAAACCTTAGGCTTTGTTACCATATCACAATATCTGATTTCAGCAAGAGTCACCAACCAAAGGGAGTCATTTTGAATAGTTTTTTTTTTTTTTTTTGGTAGAGGTTTTTGCCTTAGAGCACATGCACTCTCTGGGGAAAGAGAGGGAGAAAGTGAGAAATCACCCCCATGGGGTATGGCCAAACCACAATCCATTTTCCTCTATTTTCCTCCCAGGATCTTGGGCATGCATGCACATGTGCCCAGGCTGAGTTTCAAGCCACCAGGTCCTTGAACTGCAGTCAGCCATGTAGGAGTCCAGGAACATAACTGCCATGCCATTTGCTGGCCCCCAGATAGAGCTTTTCGATAAGCTTGCTTTCCTGGTCCCATATGTTTCTCCTAGTTTCCTCTGATTGTTTGGTACCATTCTTTCTTTCTTTTTTTTCCCCTGTTCTAATATGAGCTACCTAATAGACAACATTATCTCTAGAATATAATTTTGTACTTTTGAATTATTTGTGGCTTACATTAAGGAAATAAACTTTTTTAGAGAAATTTTTACTATAGGACACACATACTCGCTAGAGAGACAGACAAAGTGAGAAATCACCCTCCAGGGTAGATGGCCATGCCTCAATCCCTTCTCTATTCTCTTGGACTTTTGGGTATGCATGCACAAACACCTGACGTGAGTTTTAAACTACTGGGTCTGGGATTCAAACCACAGTCAACTATGTTGGAGTCCAGCGAGTGATGCAATCATTATGCCATCTGCTGGTCCCTGAAATAAACTATTAATATAGCCCAATATAGCAGTAAAATTGGTCATCAATAGGAGTAAGACCTCTGTTACTGGCTTTCCATGCGATGGAGAGATTACCCATAGATACCTATAAAGAACTTTAATCCATGGAACAATTCATATTCTGGAATAGGGTTACTCTTGTGGCCTTATATTTCTCCCAAAGGCAGGGTAACTCTCCAGTTGTGTGGGGAAGAGTCACAGTCCAAGAAAGATTGTGGTCAAATTACTGAAAAAAGAGAAAATTAAACTCCATTAATTGACCAACTATACCCAACAAATCTATAAATTTCAAGTACTACTGCAACAAAAATTTTAACAGTTTATTTGGTGTGTTAATTTACAGATGTTTCTCCTTTAGGATATGTTGCCATTTTTATTAAAAAGTGAATCTCTATTTTTTTTTAATTGCCAGAGGGTACAGGAACTCACCAGAGGGAGACAGAGAAACAGAGAGATAGAGAACCGCTCACTCTATGGGATGAGGTTAAACCTCATTAAACCTGAACAGAACTATGATGTCAAATTAAATAGCCGTTATAAAAAGAAAGTTTGAGTCATGATAATTTTCATTCATTAATTGATTTAATTTTCAGGAAAATACAATGGCAACCTCTCTGTAATCTAATTCTGTTTAGTCAATGATAATCTTATTTATTTATTTATTTATTTATTTAATTTGTTGTTATTTAATTTGATGAGAGAAGGAGAGAGAGTGAGAGAGCAAGCCACCAGGTCTGAGACTCAGGCTGTGGTGGGCCATGTGGAAGTCCAGCACCTTAATCGCTATGCCACCTGCTGGGCCTGAGTCAATACTCTTATACCAAATCTGAATACTTTCCCTTTATTTTAGCTTATTGTATCTCATTTGAAAGCCAGATCTTTTAGAGTAGACCTTATAAATCTTCATTAGTTCAAAAATAATCATTTATGATTTTTTTGACTTTTTCTATAAAAAGTATAATGTATTCAAAATGATTCTGAAATAACGTCATTCTTTTTCAAAAGCTATGACTGCCATATACTGACAAATAATAAGAGGGGACTTCAAAAAGTTAGTGGAAAGTGTATTATGAAATAAATATGCATAGATTTCTCTTTTTTGCATTAAAATAAAGTCATAATTCCATTACTCCCCGAATGTTTTGCAGTCCCTTGTACATTCATATGGTTCGAAAGTATATGCAGTCAAACGTGATAATTTGCTGTATGTTGTCTCTGCTCAAGTGGATTGGTTAATATTTTTACTTTTTATTATCAAGTTCTTGCTGAAGGATTATACTCTGTACATTATTAACATGTTGAAAGAAAAATACTATAGAAATAAATTTCCTTTTGGGCAAGCCTGATATTCTAGTGGCTAAGGGTGCCGGTTCGTGCATGACTCATTGTTTCAGATCGTGGCCCTGGTGGCTCTGGACTCCTGTGCATGCATGCCCCAAATCTCAACATGATGAAGAAATAGAGCAGAAGGGATTGGGGTGTAGCCTCATCCCATAGAGCGAGCGGTTCTCTCTCTTTCTCTCTCTGTTTCTCTGTCTTCCTCTGGTGAGTTCATGTACCCTTGGCTCTGGACTCCTGTGCATGCATGCCCCAAATCTCAACATGATGAAGAAATAGAGCAGAAGGGATTGGGGTGTAGCCTCATCCCATAGAGCGAGCGGTTCTCTCTCTTTCTCTCTCTGTTTCTCTGTCTTCCTCTGGTGAGTTCATGTACCCTCTGGCAATTAAAAAAAAATAGAGATTCACTTTTTAATAAAAATGGCAACATATCCTAAAGGAGAAACATCTGTAAATTAACATACCAAATAAATTGTTAAAACTTTTGTTGCGCTAGTACTTGAAATTTATAGATTTGTCGGTTGTAGCCGGTCAATTAATGGAGTTTAATTTTCTCTCTTTTTAGTAATTTGACCAGACTCACTGCACTATTAATTAATGTTCTTGATTTTTATAGGTTTGTAACAATTTAACAGTCGATACTTAGACGACTATTGAAGTTCTTTGTTCTTTCCACAGAGCACGACCTTTGCAACCTGATCACACAGATGACGAAAACGAATAGAACTTTTTTATTCATCTTTGAATAATGTCTCCTGTTTACTCTGGTATTCTAGGGTGTAAATTTGCATAAATGTGTTCCAATTAGCTTTGCTGAAATAGGCATTTAATTTAAAAAATGAGGCTTACATTTAGTTGTTCAGAAGCAAGTAGTTACTAAATTAGGAAATTGTAAGATTAATTACGGTTACTTAGCTTAATATTCACTATAATGCAATATTTGGTTTCTTTTATCTGTTACTAAGTTTCTTGTTCTTGCTTAAATCAAATCATTGCATGGTGTTCTAATTAGAAACTATTGTATTTGAAATTTGCTTAGATCTTTGGACTGCTGCCATTGTTATTGGCATTTGACTATTGGAATGGTGCCATATTGTTATTCCTTTTATTTGCTTCAGAAAGCAGAGTTTGATTTTTGCACATTAAAAAAAAAATTCAGTATTAATTAAACTTAACCTCCACCCGTTTTCACAAAGGGGACCAAAGATGAAATGTTGAAAAATTTCCTCTTTAGAAAAATATAAGGACGATTTGTTCTTGAGAATTTAAATGGTTGATAATCAAAGCTCCTACAACAACATAAAAAGATAATAAGCTAGCATAGAATCAGACAGGAAGATTCCACAAATACATTAAAAGAGAATCGTTTTCCTGGGATATCTTTTTGATTCAATATCATAATATATTAAAATTTGGGCCTCTACTTGGAAAGTTGGGAATCAGTAAGACCCGAAAGGCACATTATGGTATAGAAACAGAGCCACGTCTAAAGTCCTTAGATTTACCATTACATTTCTCAAGATAACCAGCAGTATAATTGGAGAGCTGGGTATGATATTTCTTGTTAACTGATATTCTTGCTTCCTTATCGCACTTGTTCACTGAGAGCCTATTGTCAAAATTAACCATGTTTCAACAGACATGTTTTTCTCTGAAACTTGCTTGTAATAAATGAATACTTATTTTCACAATAGACTATCCATTTGTGTGTTTCCCCAGATTATGTCCTGCCAGATATTTCTATTTATTTCTTCCAAATATAAATCAGTGCATTGACCTGATTCTTTCAACTTCCAAACTGTTGGAGTCCCAATAATTGTAGATTATATATTTTGCTTTATCTTTTTGAAGTGTCTATAAAACAAACTGTTACTAAATTGGGAGAATTTTTCACCTCAAGTACTACTTTGGTTTTTCTTGAAAGTGTAGCTTAAGTATACTACTAAAGTCAGGTTTTTGTTTTTTTTTTTAATTACTTATTTAATCTTACCTTTATTTTTTGAGAGGGTTTTTTTTTTTTTCTTTTTTAAACTATAGGGCACATGCATCCACCAGAGAAACTGAGAGAGATAGAGAGACAGAAAGCGAGAAATCACCCCGCAGGGGGAATGGCCATGTTACAATCCCTTTTCCTCTAGTTTCTTTTTGGGATTTTGGGCATACACGCCCATGTGCCTGAAGTGAGTCTCAAGCTGCTAGGTCTGGGACTTGAACTGCATTCGACTACATGGGAGTTCAGTGACATAACCATTATGCCATCTGCTTGTCCTCTTACTATTTTTTAATTTGCGACAGGCAAATTAAACACTCACTCACCAGAGAGAAACAGAGGGAACCAGAGAGAGCCACCAGGTCTGGGACTTGAACGGAGGTTGGCCATGTTAGAGTCCAGTGCTTTACCACCACATCACCTGCTGGCTCCTTGTTTTAATTTTCCAGAGGCTATGTGAGTTTGCCAGAGAGGGAGGGGGAGAAAGCACCATCTTATGGGGAAGGTCATACCACAATCCCTTTTCCTCCATTTCTCCTTCCTTTCAGAATTTTGGGAACACTGAAACATTTACGTTGCCTGTTTTTCCAGGGTCTAGGACTCATACCTTTTAGTCACTAAACCTTAACTACCAGGACACGGGCTGACCTGTAAATTCAGGTGGTGTTTTTAGTGTTTTTTTTCTTTCTTTCTTTCTTTCTTTCTTTCTTTTTTTCTTTCTTTCTTTCTTTCTTTCTTTCTT